TGCAGAAAGTGGACAATATCGTTTGACTCTTGTGGTACAGTGTGTAGCATTGCAAACTTGTTGGAGAGTTTTATGCAGCGAGGCAGTTTTGTTGTGTCATTTCATTATCGGCGCCTGGCAGCTCAGTCGAGCTGCCGATTGCCTCTTTGTGCTGTTTTAGGCAGAGCAGTCTCCCACCTCTGGAGAGCCCGGCAGCGTTGGCGGCCAGCTGCAGTCTGTGGGGAGTGAATGGAGACAAGACACGAGTGGTTGGCCGATGCAACTGCATCCAGATCATCTCGTGAGTCGCGCCTCTACCCATTGTTCCTAGACTGCGTAATCGGGTCTCACGTCTGCAGTTATAGGCCCTTCCCTACCCACGCTGTGCCGCAGATATACAGATGGTGTGTTCTGCACTGGCGCAAAGTGTGCATACATGGAACATCTCCGCCTTTTTTGAGTGTAGTATAGCGCGCGGCAGTCGTGCTGCGTGATTTAGTTTCCGGCTCCTGGTTAGTTAGCTCAGTCGAGCTGGCGATTGGCCCTTGTCCCGCTTCAGGCATACCATATATCCAACCCTGGAGTCCCCGGCAGCCTTGGCGCCCAGCTGCATCTTTTGGGGAGTGAATGGGCCCCCGTACCTAGTGGTTGGCAGATGGAACTGCACCCAGAAATTCTCGTGAGTCGCACTTCTTCCCAGTGTCACCGAACTGAGCAAGCTATTCTCACTTCTGCAGCTAGTACCCCTGGCCCACTTGCGCTGTATAGCGAATGTACATATATTGTTTTCCGTACTGGCACAAAGCGTGCAGGCATGCAGCATGGCCGCCTGTTGTTGGATTTAGTAGGACGCGCGGCAGTCCGGCTGCGTGATTTAGTTGCCGCCTCCTGGTTAGTTAGCTCAGTCGAGCTGGCGATTGCCCCTTGTCCTGCTTCAGGCAGAACATCCCTCCGCCTCTGGAGTACCCGGCAGCGTTGGCGGCCAGCTGCAGTCTATGGGGAGTCACTGGAGACAAGACTCGAGTGGTTGGCCGGTGGAACTGCAAACAGCTCATCTCGTGAGTCGCACTCCTTCCCAATGTGGCCGAACAGCGCTTGCCGTTCTCACGTCTGCAGTTATAGGCCCTATCCCACCCACGCCNCTTCCCAATGTGGCCGAACAGCGCTTGCCGTTCTCACGTCTGCAGTTATAGGCCCTATCCCACCCACGCCGTACAGCACATGTGCAGATACTGTTTTCTGTACTGGCGCAAAGTGCGCAGACATGCAGCATGGCCAAATGTTTTTTGGGGTAGTATGCCCGCGGCAGACGTGCTGCGTGACTTGGTTGCCGCCGTCTGGTATAGTTACCTCAGTCGAGCTGTCCCTTGTCCTGCTTCAGGCATACCCTCCATCTGTCTATGTAGTGCCCGGCAGTCTTGGCGGCCAGCTACACCCTTTTGTGGGTGAACATGAGACACAAACGAGTAGTCTCCAAGGGCTAGTTCTCGCAGATCCTCACGTGCGTCGCACTGCTTTCCACTGCGCAGAAAGTGGACAATATCGTTTGACTCTTGAGTTGTTCTGCCTTCATCGAAATGTGAAGGGAACTGTACAGATACTCTCTTTCTTATTGTCGTACAGTGTGTAGCATTGCAAACTTGTAGGGGAGTTTTATGCAGCGAGGCAGTTTTGTGGTGTCATTTCATTCTCGGCGCCTAGCAACTCAGTCGAGCTGCCGACTGTCTCTGTGTGCTGTTTTAGGCAGAGCAGTCTTCCACCACTGGAGTACCCGGCAGCGCTGACAGTCAGCGACAGTCTTTAATGGGTGAAACGGCGACAGAACCGGGTGATGTGCGGGCTCCGGAGGACCAAAGGCTTCACGTGAGTCCCACCACTCCTTTCCAGTAGACGTACACTGCGATTCGCAATTTGGCTTTGTGCTGTGGCGCCTGCTTGCCTCTTGATTGTGCCTTCATTATTACACGTTCAGCACGCAGCTGCTGGATGGCTAGCGGTGCTGTTTCAGGCGGGCGAGCGTTGTTATGCCGTTGTTTTAATCTCTTATATGTCTCATATCATGGTTCGGGAGCATTCACCAGATTCTGCTTGCGTTTTCTGATGCATTTTGAAGGGCTCAGAAGGTTCCGGACACAGTCAGGATTCCACAGACGTTTCCATGGAGGAAGTGAAATACCAGAGCCATGCGTTCTACCGCTTGCCACCTGTTGCTGGGACGTTACCTCCAACCGTGTTTAACTGGGGTTCGGCCGTATGCACTGCTTCCCGTAAAAAGCTATCTGCAATACTGATTCCGCTTAGGAGTTTGATGCTCAAGGAAACATTGGACCGTGATGACCTCCGAGCCCTCAGGCAACTGGCCTGTGAGCTGATCAAAAGTACACTTTCCTTGGGCAGATTTGGAAGGAGCCACATGAGGACGTGCCACATACAAGACTCGCTGGCCCGTCGTTTCCTCATTGCGGATGGCGTGTGGACCATTTGTCAGGTGGTTGGTCCTGCAATGGAGATGTCGAATTGGTGGGATAAGCTAATGGACAAGCTGTTACAGCTTCCCCAAATCGTTTATGCGAAAAGGATGAGTAAAAACAGTCGAGACTACTTTGCTGAAAAGGTACTTTCAGCATTGCAGATTTATCGAACAGGTAAACGACCTCCAGCTCGTGATGTGGTTGAGGTGAAGCAAGAGATATTTTGTAAATGGAATAGCCCACCAGCATTTCGCTCACCAGAATTTGACTTTTGGAGAAGTGACAATTACGCATGGTTATTGACATGGCGTAAATGACTGCGTGAACTGCCGCTGTACGAGCAGCGTTGGATCGAAGGAAGCGCCGTGCACGGATGGTCGTATACCTTGGAGACCTTACCAAGCTACCTAGGCATTCACCGTTTCCGTCAGGAAACAGACGGATGATAGCTGCTCCAATATTCACGACAGCATCGTTCTAGAAGGAGCAATGCTTCCCGATACTACGACGGTTATGAAGAGACTCCCAGTTATGGTACCCTACACTGTTCGGAAGGCACACTTGAACACTATGGGGGCAGTGCTACATCAGAACGAAGTAGCTTGGCTGCAAGGGCTCCGACAGACACGTGATCGGCTCCCTATTTTGTCATGTTTGATGCTGCACTGGTATTTTTCATGGACCTGTTTGAATTGTCTTGCTCCAACGTCGAGGTTGCTCTGCTCTGGTGCGTTCTCAATGGCCAAATGCGCATAAAAGGTAGGAACCAAATACACTACGTTGTTGAGATCAGCTGCTGCGCGGTGTGAGCTAAGCTGTATCGGCTGTAACAGGTACAGCAGCGGTAACAGCAGGCTCACTTGTTACAAGCAGCAGCTTGTAGCCAGGCAGCCTACTGTTCCCAACTCTTACATTAGCAACCATGTTTGCGATGTAGGAGGTGGAGTAAGTAGGCTACATTGCTTCGGCTGTAGCGCGGATAGAAAAAGGAATCTGCAAGGCTTTTACAGCGAGTTTGGAAGGTATTGTTCCGATATTGTTGAAAAACATAGATTGTCTTTCGACTACGCTAGCCTAGAACTCCATAGAACCCCGTGAGAGATTCTGAATCCCCCCCTAACCGTGGCCCTTGGTGGGGTCACCAAGTCTCTTTCCTGCAGTAGCCGCCTCGTTTGGCTAGCAACGAGCCGTGGCCTGTTCATCTGTAGTGTCTAATTAGTCAAGAGGACGCGAGCAGCCGACAGGGAATGAGGTTGCTTCGGCTTGAGCTGGCATATTCTAAGGAGGCGAAGTAGCTTGTGATATCGAGCTGCCAAGTAATTATGAATGAGAAGCTCGCTTTCTAGATACATTAGACACATTTGTTTGCTCGAACAAGTTCACTCTGGATGATAGCCACTATAAAAAAAAGGAGACTTCCAGGAACGTCGTATCAAGTTGAGGCAGTTCCTATTCGCCCGTCGGGGAGCTGGTTGCAGAGAAGCACCAGCATCCACTTCAGCTGCAGTATCGTGACACAGTTGCTTCTGAGGTCCCATGGTTTTAATCTATGGTAGTGGCACCATCGCACTGTTGACGCTGCATTCAGCGGACGTGGCGCTTTCAACGATAAAGAAGCTAACAGCACACTATCAGGAGAGCATCTCCGATTGAAATTTTAAACGAGCCGGGAACAAATTTATATTCAGCTCCGTATGGAGGAGATGAGGAAGACGCCGAACAGTTCTTTCCATGGAAGAAACCCGCCGTATTCTCAGATATAGTTTACACGTCCTAAGCCTTTATTTCAAAAGGGTAGTAAACATTCTGTGAATCCGTTGGCGTGCAACAGCAGCAAAAACATATAACAACTTGCACGCGTATCACTTCCAGAGGACCCACTCGGTTTCGAGTGGATTACATCAATCCCACGATATGCCGAGACGAAAAGTTCAGCTATGATCCACCTCAGGCGAAATGTTGCAAGCCAAATTAAGTGATTGAGAGAGCAGACATGAGGATGTTGTAAGAAGATACGTTGCGTGCGCGCAGCGAAATGCAGCGATGCACTCCAGGCGGGCTTCGTGCACTCCAGCTGAGCGGCCACCGTGAGCGAGCACGCAATTCCAGAGATTCCCGTTCATATAACGGCGATCCAAGGCCTCAAGTCGGACCCTTCATACGATGTCTTATGGCATGTGACATCGGCTAGAACGAAGACAGATGCAAGGTTAAGAGGATCCAGGTCAACAGAAGTCAGCTCAAAAGCAAACTTTATGCCAACCATATAAGAAGGAACCTGCTTGAAGTTTAGTTTGTGGAACTGCAAGTACACGCCTACTTTAAAACAATTTACGCGTACCATGCCCGTGTCGCCTGGACGCGGAAGAGTCTGACGACCCAAATAACGGATAAAAGCACACCAAGAACGGAGCATTCTTGTGCCGCTCAGAATTCAGACTTGTTTATGCATGCTCGGTGCCAACAGATCACAGAACATCACTCAGACTATCAGCCCCGGCACCCTAAACGCGCAGTACACTCCCCATTGACGTGAAACTTCCCCCCAGTCACATTTGAAACTAGGTTAAAACACCACGCTTGCTTCCCTGAAGTTGAATCTTAGAACTCGCGTTGTGGCTTTACTTGCTTGACTCTCATAAGGTCCGAGACGATATTGCCTGGCGCCTTTGGTTTGTCACTGTAGAGAACAGCTGGCCCGGCCGTTACTACGTCTATACCCTAGGACAACCCTACGGCGTCCAGACTCAGACTCTACATCGATGCACGAAACTCTATAAGGACTCATATTCAAATTATCACCTAACATCCTGCATCTATGCACTAAACACGATCTATCCATACTATAAGGACTCATATATTCAAATTATCACCTTAAAAACATATAGAGTCCCTTATTCCTAAAAAAACAAAAAAGGAGATACGTAGAGTAATAAATTTGGTGTCTGACTCTGCCTGGAGTCAGAGTCTCAACCATCCAGGCCTAGGCTGGTGTGGCTGCTGAGCCATCTTGGTCTGGTTATCCTAACTTTCTGCCTAAAATTGTACAACCTGTCTCTATAAGTATTGCATTCGTTCTCTCACAGCTAACTAGGACTGTGAAGGTCCCACATGAGCTCCATTGTAATGCCTGCCCACTACAGTTGCTCTGACCAGCTCGGGAACGATCCCTCGGCACGTGCATAATAAATTGGCCGGAAGTAGCCTGGAGTCTGCAGAACACCATAAGGATTGAACCAACAGGAGGTTTCAAGACAAATAATATGCTTGACGAACATATTTAAGTAGACCTCATGCACGGGCCTACTACGCAAGGGAAGAGCAACGCCGGCGCAGGCTTGTTTCTAGATCGAGCTGGCGGGTAGGTAAACGGGCAGTTGCTTCTCAGTATAGCAGCACTACATTGGAATCCATACAATGAACCAATCGAGCTATAAGATAGAGAATTTTGCTCATATGCTTATGCCTAATATCAACTGGTTACTGACAAATTTTCCCTTCATTGGTTAACCATCGTGGACAGATAAGTTAGCTCATCTGTGCCAACCGTGCCGTCCAGTCATGCGTTTTAGATCTTCTCCTCCATGAAATAAAGAAGTTAATTCTGTTTGCTGTGAAATGCAAACCACCCCATGGACCTTGGAGCTTCACTCCCCTGTGGGCCAGCACAATGATGCTGCAAGGTGGCCCGATTCGTTCCCCACCAGCCATGGCAAGCATAACGACTTAACCTTACCTTCTGCTCATCAGAGTAAAAAACGCAGGGCATTTGTAATTAGAACTGCACTTTCAGCAGTTTTGGTCCTTGTCCTCGCGGCTTATTTTTGTCGGTCTCCCGGAGGCCATTGGCTTTCAAAAAATGCAGTCACTCGACGGTTGGCTAGCAGTGATGAAGATGAAGCGTGCCAAGATTTGCTTGAGCTAATAGAAAGGGCTAGTGGAGGAGAGAGTGGGGAATCTTCGAGCCCCAAGGAACTTTTCCAGAGCTCCAGTCCTGGCAGCGGAACAGGCTCTAGAAAGAGGCGACATAGCACGGGTAACCAAGATGAGGTGGAGAAGTTCAAGAAGCCTTTATTAGAGGAGGATTCGCAGAGTACGGTTGCAAACGTGCAGGAAAATCTTGATATCCCACGGAGTTCGTCTGCCGAGGCGTCTTCTGCCCAACAGCAGACAGTCTCAACTCGGGAACGGGAGTTCTCTGTAGGCTTGCAAAGGCATGATGAACCTAGCACATCATCAGGCACCCAAGGATTCGAAGGCACATTGCATGGAGCTGAGTCCATGGCACGTCCCCAGGCAGTAATGGATCCTTCTGACGATGATCTCCTCCAGCAGTGGTTTCTTGATTACATTCTCGATCCAGCATTCACTGAATCGCCAGCAGACGACACAGACCGCTTGAAGGACACAAGGGAGCACACTGGTGACGGGGCCAGTGCGATAGAGCTTCAAACATGGGGGAGCAGTCCAAGCCCGGAACAGGAGGGTTGGGCCGCTCGTAGTGGGGCAAGCCGCGATGGTCAGCTGCCTGTTTTAGAAAGTCAGGGTGTTCAGCAATACACATATCCCTATGGAATGTCTACAGGTCTATCCAGCAACTCAGCATCGCAGCAAGAAAGCCCGCTTCGCATACTGCTACAGCGCGCTATGCTACCCAAGTCCACCAGTTCGCAGGTGGGTGCAAATGCCATCTATGGTGTGCATTATCGCCTCTTCAAGAGCCTCTTCCTACAGAGCCCCTTGGAAGTTAACAAATGCGTTGCTGTATATAGCTTACAGTGTACAAGTTCATTGCCGTAGCCACATGATCTGCGATGCTATCTTTCATTGGTCCGTTTCGTCTGTGGCGTTCTTGAGCTTGCTTTACGAAGGCACCTTAATAGTGCGTAGTCCTAGAGGATCAAAAGTAACCTTTGGCTTCAGGTTCCCTCAGTTCTCTATTTTCCAGCGCTTCTTCTGGCACATTGTGCTCTCCTCAGGCCTCCACAGATGGATCAACTCTGTCAACGAGTCCAGTGGAAACGCCTGGGCCATCGCATACACCGGTGAGTGCTTAGACACCCCACAGTTGAGGGCAGACGGTACAAA